AGAAGTTGTTCAAGTTTTTGGTTTACTTTTGGTGAGCTCATTAGGGGAAAAAGATGATTCTGCCATGGAATAAGGGTCAATGAAAGCGCCAATGTAAGGATGCTACAGGGAGCAGAAAGAGAAATAACAAAAAAAAAGGGAATATTCAGAGAAGAAGAGAAGCTTTTCAGAGAAGGAAAATACTTTTTATATATTCTGCGACCCTTCTACTACAATACTGTGCTATATATGCACTTGGCCGATTGCCTTGCAGTACTAATCATGTGCAAATAACTATAAAGAAAATTACAATAATAATTCCAATCATTCCTTGCTAACAGAATTCCCCTTTTTACGAGGTGCTAGACAGGTGACCACATAATCTTTTAGGTAACGTGGTTGCTGTGTGGTTCTTTTGGCTCTTTCCTCTAACGGTGTCTTAGCTGTAGGTGTTGGAGCAATTACTGTGTTTGGGCTTGTAGGAGGAGTGAGGGGGATGGGCCCATCAACCCTTACAGCAGTGGTCCCTTTATGTTTCTTACGACTTTTTGGTTTTTAAAATTAAAGAAGATAATGTTAATAAAAGTGGTCCCTTTCTGCATGGTTTAACCCATATTTCCATGTGCGTGTATGACTTTCATTGTTTATTCAGTAAATTAGTTTAAAATTGCAAAATATTGCTGAATTTTTTTATAATTATTTTTCTGTAAATGCAAACAATTAAGCTTTACATTCAATTTTAAGCTTTTCCTATGTCTTCCATTTTTAGATTGATGAGAATGTGGCTCGCGAGATTATCAACCATGGGTCTCTTCATCACCCCCAATATAATTTGTTTCAAGGAGGCAAGAACTTTATTTGCTTACCTATTGGATCACTTTGTATTGAATACTCTATATAACTAATTATTTGATCTCATTTCAATGGGGCTTTGATTTTGCAGGTAGTTTTGACCCCCACTCATTTAGCAATAGTAATGGAGTATGCAGTTAGAGGAGAGCTATTTGAGAGGATTGCAATCCTGGAAGGTTCAGTGAAAATGAGGTTGATCTTTGAATTTTCTAGTTTATCTCACTCTTTCAATTTTAGTGCCATTAATATTGTAGCCATATCTCACTTATTTTCCTCTTTGATTATTCAGGCTAGATATTTCTTTCAGGAGCTGATTTCTGGTGTCCATTACTGTTATGCCATGGTATAATCATGCTTAAGTTCTTGAAAAATTATTAGACTTCCTGTAGTCAGAACTGTAAGAAGTGAGAACCTATGCTTTTACTCTTCTTTTGCAACAAATATGCCACAGAGATTTGAAGCTAGAAAATACCCTCTTAGATGGAAGCCCTGCACCTCGCTTGAAAATTTGTGACTTTGACTATTCCAAGGTATTGGATTGAATAACATCTAGTTTCTATGTTCTAATAATATGTTCTTTAGCCTTTATATTTCTGAATGTTTTTTATTTGTGGTTTAGTCATCTTTGCTTCATTCACGACCCAAATCAACTGTTGGAACGCTAGCTTATATAGCACCAGAGGTTCTTTCTAGGAGGGTAAACATCTACGTAGGATGAAGTTACTTATTACTTAGAATTGGCAGGGACTTAATTGCATGAATAATAAATTAGTTAGGGACTAAATTGCATGATTTTTATTCTATTAAGGACTAAAATGAACTTTGTATTTTACTGCAGGGTTTGATTCTAGCTTTGCAAGAAGTGATGTCAAGTGCAAACCGTAGGTTTTGTGTGTGGCATCTATGGCAAATTTCTATAAGCAATGGAAGGATAAAGTCTTGAAGCACCTTGTATGGCAATGTGCAAGATCAACCACCATCTCACAATTCAATGCAAACATGTATACAATAAAGACAATGAATGAGAATGCATAGGCATACTTAGACATGTGGCCAAAGGAGGCATAAACTAAGGCATACTTTAGTGAATGGCCAAAGGTGGATAACATCTATAACAATAACTGCGAGGCTTTCACCTCAAAGATTGTAAATGCAAGGTATAAACTAATATTAATAATGCTGGAAGAAGTCCGATGCTACATCATGACAACAATTAGTACCAATGAGTTAAAGTTGACAGCTCAAGCATGTCAGTACCAACAAGGTCATCTGCTGCAAATGTTCCCACATCACCTCAGCAAAGTCCACCACCATCTTCACCAAATGAAAAGGGAGATGACTTTACAAAAGCTGCACAATTTATGCCAACACCTGGAATTAAGAATGCAGAATGAGTTGTTGTAATTATGTTACTTGTTTTCATCATTTTTTATGTAACAAGTTTGTATTATGTAAGACTTGTGTCATTTGGACATGTTTTATTTGGAATAGTTATTTTGATTGGACAAGTTGTCAGGTTTTAGGTTCCACCTTTAAGGCATTGAATGTTTTATTTCCATTCAGTTTTTTATGTTTTTAGTTATTATTTAGTATTTTTATAATTATTAAGCCAAAATTAGGTACTAAGTATTTTCAAATAAAGTATAAAGATAAAATCAGAGTTTAGAAAGAACACATGTTAAAATTATAAGAGATGAGGAGTTTTTATATTGAAAAGTACAATTCATTATTTCATATTAATAAGAAATTCAAAATCAGTACATATTTTGTAGATTCATTTTGGCTGGGTTTAGCTTGAAATTTCTTTTACAAAGCTTTTTAGCTTGGAATTTCTTTTACAAAGCCTATCCCAAATTCTGTTTCTGGCTAAAAACTGGTTGGTCAATCTCTAGTTCTATGTTTTCTTTTTCTTTGGCAATAACTTTTCAATGATTTATTTCCACTGAAGTGTTATGACTTAGAATGACTTTAAAAATCTATCTTTGTCAATATGCCATCTATCAAATGTTAAAAGAGTTCAATGGAAAAAATAATATTTTTTTCTTCAGTGCTATCCTCTTTTCTTTCAAATCACATATATTTGATCCACTTGTAATGCATTCTAAATTGCAAATTCATATAGCCTCCAAGTTACTGCTACTTGTCTAATTACAAATAGATATTTTTCAACAAACATAAACTATTGCTATCACATATCTTGAGATGACGTATTTATTATTTGCTATGTACAGAGTTATCACTTATCAGTACCTGACAGAACAGGCTAGAAAATTGTTCTGTTTCATTCTTCTTTTCATCAATTTTTTCACTAAAATATAAACAAAATGTAATTACAAAAACATTCTTTATTAATATTAAAACAAAATTTTATCATTATTTTACAACAAAGTACATGACAATACACATCAAAATACAAATAATCTGTACAAACAACTTTAATTTCTTAATTTCAGCCTCTAAATATGTTATTTTGGCAGCCAAATTCTTCATTCATAACTGTTGCACTTGTAAGAGGAGACGTTACTTTGGAGGTTGGATACTTAGTAGCATTATAACTATCCTCCATGCTATTTTTGTTATCAGCCTATGCAAAATAATTGCAATGTTCACCAACCTATACCATGTGTAAAAAGTAATTTAATTCATCAGAAATGGCAATTGAACACAACACTAAATTAACTTTGTTTACCATATATTTAGAACATTCAAAGAACAATTTTCCAAGATTAGCTTCTATTTGTAAAATTGTAACAGCTGCTTTCAACCCACAATAACAAATCTTACCATTTCGTCTTTTATTTTGTTTTGATTATGACCTTGAAGCAGAACTCATCAGAGGGCTTCAATTGCTATTACTAGCCATATAAAGTGTTGGAAACCCAAACTGTGCAAAGAAGGAAGAAACCTAATAATAGAAGCAAGATACCCCAATAATAGAAGAACTGAAGAAACCCAAGAAACTCAAGTAACCCAATTGCAACCATAAACCCTAACCTGAGTGGTGGAAGAAGACCAGAGGCACAACATATATGCTGATATGTTTGATTAAATTTGGGAAAAAGGAGTTTCAATAACAACAATACCGTTTTGCAATTATTTGTGCCACGTTAGCTTCCAAAAACGACGCCGTTACTGCCAAATAGGATTCTGACGTAGCACTTAATGTCACAACTCAGTCTTCTGTAACAGTTTCTTAATAGGCCTGACATCAGGGACTAAAATGCATTACGAAGAAGAAGTTACAGACTAACGTGATATTTTAAATGTCTCAAAGACTAAAATGCTGGACTCAAACTCTCTCAGGGACTAAAGTGAGGGTTTAGTCGCTTTTAAATTATAAAATATCTCCTCATTTATATATCGACACATCTACTGATGGTATGTTCAATCACCACTAAAAATAATTAAGTATTTATTGACGAATATTTAAATTTAAAAAGAAAAAAAAATGAGAAAATAAAAAAAAGGAATTATTATATAAAAATTAAATGCAACATTAGTACTACTTAACTGATTTTCAAAGATATTAGTACTTACATTCAATCACTTTTTTTTAAATTATTATATTTAAATTAAAATTTTAGTAAAATTTTAAGACTGAGAATAATTTAATTTTTAAACAGGAATATTATTTCTATTGAACAATTCATTATTTTTATATGCTAAAACCTCTTCTTAATTTTTTTTATATTCTTTTTGTATACATTTTTATAAGAAGAGATTAGAGAATAAATTTCAGTTAACTTATTTAAATGTTGACTTTATTTAAATAGATATTATACTTTTCTAAACATAAAAAGTATAATATTATATAATATAAAGATTAAATAAATAAAACTTAATATTTATAAAAAAATATTAAACAAAATAAGTAACTAAAATTTAATCTTATACATAATTTTTTTCCTGATTTGTACGTATTAAAATTCGAATAAAGAATAACTATTTATTTTTTTGCTATATAAGAATAACTAGATTTTCTTTTTGATATTAAAAAATAACTATATTTCATTACATTAACAAAGGATAAACACATTTTTTCATATAATAATATTCTTTTTTTTATATTTAATAAAAATAAAATTATATAATTTTCTTTTTACTTTACCAAAAATTATATAAGAAACAATTTTTTTTATTTTCTATTTTTCATTATATAATTATATCGTTGTTTCCGTCAACGACAGAACGAAGGAGTGACATGTTCAAATTAATTTTTTCCCCCAAATTTTACTTCAAACGTACGTGATGTCGTGAAGATTGATTTTGGTGGATATCCAACGGCCACCAAATTGATACAAAGTAACTTGCGTTTCATCGAGAGAGAAGAATCGCATTGATTGAAACATGTGGCCGTTTAACAGAAAAGGTGCTTCTGGGTTTTCATCGTCTTCCACTGCCGAGGATGTTACATATGGAATCGATGGTAGTGGTCTCACTGCTCTTGTTACAGGTCATTTTCTTTCTTTACTTTTTATTTTTTTTTAAATATGAATATGAAATTATTTGTATTGTTCTCTCGCTGCACCTTCTATTTGATTAACTTTTTAGATAAACATTGTTTGTATTGTTCTTATGAAACTACATTAACTGTAATTAATTAGTTTAATTTCAAAACTTTGATAACTTATTTTATTGCAGTTGCACACTGTTAAACAAACAGAAATTTCTTTATGAATTTTACAATTGTTTTACATATCTGCACCTTAATTGTATGTTTTGGTTGCTGTTTTGGCCAATCTAACGACAGGGGCTTCCAGTGGTATTGGTGTTGAGACTACCCGTGTTCTTGCTATGCGTGGTGTCCATGTAATTATGGGGGTGAGAAATATGATTGCTGCAAAAGATGTTAAAGAAAGAATACTTAAGGAGTTTCCCGCAGCTAAAGTTGATGCCATGGAATTAGACCTTAGTTCAATGACATCTGTTCGGAAATTTGCATCAGAATTCAATTCATCTGGTCTTCCATTGAACATTCTGATGTAAGGGAACACAAGTTGCACTTGCATTGTCAAAATTTTTCATTCATATGTATACATGAGTGTGTGTGTGTGTGCATGTTACATTTGAAAGTTACTCTTTATCTTTAGTTATATATACACATCTTATTTCTGATCATTCAAGATAGTAATGGAGTAGTAATGTGTTCTGGTTTATTTGTTGCAATTCCAAGAAACAATGCAGGAATTTTTGCACCCCCTTTCACACTATCCAAAGACATCATTGAATTACAATTTGCCACAAATTACATGGGTATGCAGAAGCTATCTAATTTTTTGAAACGTGATTTCTTTTTTGTAGGCTTTCCAGTGTATAAGGTTTAGGAAAATGAAACATTAAGACAATGAAATAACCTTTTGAGACAGTATAGAGAATATGATGTAATTTTTTCATTATTCAAAGCATTAAAAAAGGGATAAAAAAATGCTGCTTATTTATTACCATACTCAATGTAAAACGTCTCTCTCTCTCTCTTGGGGTCCTGGGAAGGGATTATAATCATTCATGTATGAAATCTATGTGTAATCTTTCTATGCTTATAATCTATCTTAGCTTATATAATTGCTTGATAGTTTATATAGAATGTAAAATAACTTTCCTAATTGCCCTTAAAAGCATAGTCTAAGATGTGAAAGTGATTTCATTCTTCTGATTTTATTTAACATAATTTAACAGGTCATTTTCTTTTAACAAATCTATTGTTGGATACTATGAAGAAAACAACATGTGAATTTAAGAAACAAGGAAAAATTGTTAATGTCTCCTCAGCATCTCATCAATTAACATATGATGAAGGAATCCTCTTTGACAAAATCAATGATCAGTCAAGGTAAGAAGAATTCCAAGTACAAAAAATAATAAATTATGCTTGCAGTTTTAATTTTCTATTTGTGGACAAGGGATTTATTGAGAAGCAGCAAAAGTTGTGAAAATTAATCTTCTATGAAATTTCCATAGAAGAACAATTATGTATGATAAATTATGCTTGCAGTTTTAATTTTTGATTTATGGACAAGGGATTTATTGAGAAGCAGCAAAAGTTATGAAACTTAATCTTCTAGGCAATTTTCCATAGAACAATTATGACAGAGACTTCAATTTTATTACCTTTGGTTTTTCAGCTCTAAGATGTTTTTTTTTTTAATTTGAAAAGACAAATATTATTATCACTCATTAGTTTGTAAGATTCATTTTTTAGTGTCCATATGTGGCTTTAGGTGTCACATTACATAACTATGTATGCAGATTGTAGAATTAAGAGAGAGACAGATTAGTGTGCTGGAATTAGATACTCTATAATATGTAGAGACCCTTATATTTATAAGGATACATATATAACCCTTCTGGACTAAGTCCGTTATTATAATATTAACATAAATCCTAATCCTAATACGTCTATTATAGTTATTCATAACAGAGATGTTGTTGCCTATCACTTATAGAATATGTTAGATTAAAATCTCTATAAACAAAACCTACTGATAACTTTTGATGCACCTAGATAAAGTAAACCCTTGTTGCATTAAGAATTGAGCATGCAAATGTGTTCATGTAGTATCTGTACAAAGGATAAGTTTTTTGTATGATTTATTATATTTTTGTACAGTTACCAAAGTTGGCTGGCATATGGACAATCAAAGCTTGCTAACATTTTACATGCCAATGAACTTGCAAGACGTCTCAAGGTATGCTGATAGTTATTGTACCATAACATGAGTAATACATTATTCCAGTGAAAGAGTCAGTAAATAGCATTTTTTCACTTACTAGGTGGTCATTGCTTGCTATTATATGTTAGCATTACTAGATCTTGTTAATTTATCCAAACAATGTGTCTGATTACTAAGAAAAATAGATGTCCCTGATGTCATATATGTTCTTTTCATTGTCTTTTAAGCTTTCAGAATATGATTAAGAAGCTGATACTTCTAATGGGTTCAAACTACCGCATGACCTCTTTCTATATTTTTTAATGCATGTTTCAGCATTGGTTCCAATATAAACTCTTCTATCATTTTGACACTGACTTGCACCTAATGAGTAGTGATTTGCATACAATTCCATGTCTGAGATTTTAAAAATTGAACTGAACCATTTTGACTCTTAATGATAAACTTACACATCTTATGTCTATTATTTGAGTTTTAAAATAATGTAACATATGTCATGCTACCAGATGCATTTAGTATAAAATCTTACTATTATTTGATAATTTACTTTATTGTTTTAAATCAAATCCGTCTTTCTTTTTAGTTTATCCAGCTTTAATGGCAATCTGGTTGAAGGGATTGAACTTTCAACCAGAAACCTTTTTGCTTTTCGTGTTGAGTCTGGTTTTGAAATATTGGTTTGCCATGTAGGTAGTATATTTTATGAATTGATTGTGGTAGTGTTTTATGTTGTAAGGAAGACTAACATATTCATGCTGCACCAAAATTTTCCTAACGTCTCACTATGTGCACTATGCTTGATGGAAGGAGTTAAATGATTTTATCACATTTCACAAGCTAGCAAGTAGTTTATGGATTTATATAGTTGTTTTTTAACGGTGTTTGACTATTTGTCTTTTATACACTGCATATAATCTTTCTAATACCTTTATCCTGTTGATTATGCAACATAAGTTGCTTCATTATTTAATATCTATTTGTTGAAACTGTACATATATTCTGAGAAGCTAATTTTTAACATTTTATTTTGGAAAAGTTTGTGATTATCGGTGACCCATGTTTCTAGGAATGCTTAAACTTTGCACACCTTCTAACTGCTAGTCTTGTAACTCCTAGCAATCACAATCCTAAAACAATTTTATTTAGTCTCATTTGTTTTTTTTTTTTTTCCTGTTTTGGTGACTTTCCTTCTCTTATATTTGTGTGAAAAAATGGCTCTAGTTTTACCTCATTATAGTTGTCTCTGATATATGTAATGACACTTGTTTGTTATTGCATCTTGATTAGGAAGATGGGATAGATATTACTGCTAATTCGCTTCATCCAGGAGCTGTTGCCACCAATGTTTTTCGTCACAACATTATGTTGTCTGGTAACTACTCTATTACATTGCATTAGTTGTGCGAATTTAAGGTTTGCCTAGGAATTTTGTAAATTGGAAGATTTGGGATACTAAGTAAAGTATTCAACATAATCCTGAGGATATGACTGTTGTTTAATTTCCTTGATTTGTCTTCTAGAAGTTTCAGTGAATTCACAATGAAATAAGCCTCAATCCCTTAACATAGTTTTGGTGTTGCAGTCCTATATTTTTGTACATGAATAATGTTTAAAAAGAAAAAAATGGTCGTGTTAAATAGATTGGCAGTTCTGATCATTGAATTCAAACTTACAAAACAGGAATAATCCTTCTAGGCCTTGCAAAACAGTTTCAAATGTTCACCTAGAGCCAGCCTTTGTAATTTATGGCTCTAAATTGCAATATCAACTTGTGTCTTTAGATTTCTTCTTCTTCACTAGTAATGTTTTGTGCAAGTAGTTTTTTAACTACAGTTTGTGTTTAATGGGCACTTTTAGTTTGATGTACGCAGGTGCAATTAATATGCTAGGGAGATTTGTGCTTAAAAATGTTCAGCAGGTAAGCTAAACCAATATGATCTATGAATATACACATCAGGACATTGTTGTGTTATTTTATTAAATAAAGATTATTAAAAAAAAAAAAAAAACTCATTTAGGACTCGCTTGTTTAAGCTTAAGAAAAAGTGATTTTGTGATACACACTAAAATGCAATTTTTTTTATTGCAGTTTTTTGCATTTTAAAGAAAAAACTTATATAAGTTTATAAACATACCTTTTAATATAGAAAAAACACTTCTCTTGAAAAAATATTTAAAACTTAAACAAACTGCTGTTAGCTTGTGATTATTGTTTTGATCTTTCATATTTGCCTTCTCCATCCTCACTAAAGGGAGCAGCAACAACATGTTATGTAGCATTGCACCCGCAAGTGACAGGAATGAATGGTGAGTATTTTGTCGATTGTAATCTTGACAGAGCTAGCTCACTGGGAAGGGACACTGATTTGGCCAAGAAGCTCTGGGATTTCAGCTTAAATTTGATTAAGTAGGATACCCTGGGCAAATTTCAATGATAACAGTATACTTAAAACTTTATTTGGGAGTGAGAGAAAAAAAGAATTTGAGAGGCAAGTGAGAGGAAGGGAAGGAAGATTAAATTCCTCCCTTGTTGGCATGTTAAAAAGCTTCCCAAAATAAGGGAACTTAAAATATATAAAGGACGGAAATTTTGGAGAGCATTTAAAAATCCTCAAATAAACTTTCCTTAAGATTGTGACAGGTGTGTGAAATGATGTTGATTTGACTATGTTAATAAAGGTTAATACTGGTATGACAGAAGTTATTTGTTGAACTTCAACATTTGACAAAGTTAAAAGTTAATATATTCAGTTTAAAATTTCAAAAACTAATTTATTTAAACATTCATATTTTCATAGACTAATATGTGAGTTTACTTATTTATAAATATAAACTTAGAAATTTAATCATCTGTCAATACACACATGAACACAGATACATATTCTTAATTAATTGTTTAAGTTAAAAACACAATTTAATTATAAGCAAGTGACATGATACTTGTTAGACAGGGAATCGAAGGTGGCACCATCATTTAGGGGTGTTCACATGTCAAAGTATACCTAATCAATCCAAGCCAACTCAAACTAAAATTTAACAAGCTAGGTTGGGCAGTCGGGTTTGTCATTTTACAACTTGATAAACCTGACTCAACCTAATTATATGTAAAAAGAATTAAAATATTATATACTATTTATATTTTATTATTTTTACATGTGTTTTTAAATGTGAACTTTGATAAATAGTTTATTATTTGAATATAAATCAAACTTTTTTACATGAATATTGATAATTTTTTAATTTAACTTGATAATTAATTAATTTTATACATTGCATTTTTTAATCTTTTTTTAAGTATAAATCTAATAACTTAATTCAAACTAAGCCTATTTATGATTGGGTTGGATTTGTTCAAATCATATGTCAAATTAAAAAAATAATTAATCAAGTTTAACCTATTATATTTTAATTGAGTCAAGCAATTTAATTCAACTCATGAACACTCCGACCTATAGGTGTAGTAATAAACAGAATTATGAGTACAGGGCACACAAATACGAATACCAATACTTTCAACAATAAAAACATTGCAACTTTACAACAATTAATAAGCTCAATGTATAAAGAAAATCTAAAGAATGAGTTTCAGATAAGCTCAAATTCAAGCATGTCTCAGTGTACCTAGAGAGAAAACATTCCATTGCACTGGTAGATTGAAAATAACTTGCTCTTCTTTCAAAATACGTTAACTTGTCTGTCCATTTACATAAATAAAATAAAATAACGACATATTAAATACATTTTTCAAATGAAATTGTTTACATAAATATCTTAATTTAGATGAAATAGAAGTATACAAAAATACACTCTAATGCAAAAGAGAAGTCCATTTTACGACTTCTATTCCAATCTTGACCACATTATTAGTTAATAAATAAGTAAATTGTAATCAACTTTCATTTGTGTGAAAGAAGTCAATTACAATCAACTTTAGTATAAATAAAAAAATTAATTATAATTAACTTTAACAAAATTTACATGAAAAGTTATTCATATCATAAAGTAATATTATTATGCTATGAGCTTAAGACTTCTCATAGAAACTACCAATTAACTTAAGGTCTTTTCAATTTTTTTCTTTTTAATTAATAAGTAAAATTTTATGAATAGCTATATAAGAGAGATGTAACCAAAAGTTGAAAAATGAGAAAAAGCTCAAAAAATGAAAAAAATGAGTGCAAGTGTCTCAAAGATTTCCTCCAAAGTGTACGTGATACAATTTTATATACAATTAACCTCTCTTTATCAAAACTTACATTAATTATTTTTATTGCTGAGTGCTTTTAAGATTAAAATCAAATTTGTATTCTCAATGTCTACTTTCACTAAATATAATTGCGTTAAATATTTAGATAAAAAAATTTCACATTTATAATAATAATTTTAATCAACTTAAATAGAATTAACTTAAAAAAATAGCCATAGTCTATTTTTTTTCATAAAAGCAAAAAATACAGCACAATCACATATATCAGGTTAGTTGTTATGTGCAATTCCTAAATATTAGAATTGGATTTCAGCCAAAAGTGTCTATTGTGATATCTATGTTATCTTTTTAAGTTGTTGATCATATTTGCTTCTTTGTAACATATTAACTCCTCTTTTATAAAGTGAGAATTTTTACAATTTCATATATATTTCATGACAAATAACATAATAACTAATTATGAGAATTGAATGGGCCTAATTGATAAACCAAATATCTTTCTCACGGAATTACACCAATGAAATGAATAAAATGGTCTAAGCATATTGATGTAGTTTGTCGAAGAAAGCGGGTGCAACGTGGAAAGAATAGAAATATATGATAAGTAAACAAAAATAAAAATTTACCTTTAATGTTGATTGCAACTAATAATCAATTGTTGATAATAAACGTTAAGATTGATTATAATTCACTTATTTCATAACAAAAAAAATATGCACAAGAGCAATCAAGAGGGGTAGTTAGGATAGTCAAGAAAAAAAAAATCTTTTACATGAGAATAGATTTTAGTTAAACGTCTATTTTATCCGAATCAAGACATTTATATAAATATATTAATTTGAGGGATGTACGAAAGTAATAATATGTTATTTATTTTATTTTATTTCTGTAAATAATAGCAACTTGTTGGAATATTTTTAAGAAATAAAAAATTTGGAAAGGTTAATAAACCCCTTCCTGTTGACCCAATAATATGATGCCATGTGTCCATTTGTCATTAATATCGTTGTTGAGTTGTTTAAGTTGTACATATTTGCAAGGAAGAGCCTACAGGAGGACATACTTGAAATAATAAATTAGCTGTGATAGGTAATTAGTCCCTCTTACGCTTTCAATAAAAGGAGGGAACATGTTTTTCCATTTTCATTTCAGAGTGTTTTGGACTGTCAAAAGTTGGGGCTAGTTCTGACAACGTGTCATCATTAAGCATGTGGTGGCCATTCAGCAGAGAAGGAGCATCTGGGTTTTCTTCTTCTTCCACTGCAGAGCAAGTCACTCATGGCATTGATGGAAATGGCCTCACTGCTATTGTCACAGGTCACTCTTTTTTCACCATTTTCCTTTTTTAAAAAATAAATTATCCTCCCTTTTTTTTTCTTTACTCTTTAACTAATCGATCTTCCATTTTTTAGTTGTCTCCTTTAAAAATGTTAATTTCAGCTTGCGACTGAAGTTAAAAAACTAAGAATATAAAATCTTAATAAAAATAATAATTTAATATACTTTATAATTTTGATGTAATAAATATATTATTTCTCAATGAAAATTTATTAATAATGAACGCTTAAACTCAATTCTGAGATCTAATGTTAACAAAATAAAAAGAATATGGCTTTTATATTCAGGTTTGCATTTTTTAAGCTTTTATTTATATTTTCATTCAGGGGAAGCTCATTAACACACGTACTTGTGGTGTGGTTGGTTGTACAGGGATTGTTCGAGTTTCTTTTAATGTCGTATATTATCTTCTTTTTTATATAAATTTATTTATTTATTTTTGGTATCTAATTAAACTAGGATGACTGTTGGTGACAAAAGATAACTGAATACAGTTGGTAACGATTAATGCATTGAATAATTTTCAATCTTCTTAGTAATTTTCTTAATTATTAAACAAAGAAAATAATTTTCATATTTTTAAAATGTAAATGTATTCAATTTTTATTTAAAATAATAAAATCATTAAAAAATATTGGAGGGGGATATATTATTACTCTTAAGCATTAGATGATGTCCAATAAAACCATGGAAAACAAAGAAAAAAAATCATAATAATAAAATGAACAGCCATTGTAGTTAATTTACTCTATTTTTCCAAGCCTTTTTTGTATTATTCTTGTAAAACCATCTTAACCAAAGTTAATTTTAAATTTCAAAGTTTGATTACTCTAAAGAAACACATAAACTTAGAACACTTGCACCCTTTTAAGCAAAGATGAAACTTTGTGTGAAATTACCATTTTTTTACATACATGCACCTTAATTGTATATTTTGGTTGCTGTTGGATGATCTAAAAACAGGGGCATCAAGTGGTATTGGTGCTGAGACTGCCCGTGTTCTTGCTATGCGTGGTATTCATGTAATTATGGGAGTAAGAAATATGAGTGCAGCAGAAGATGTTAAAGAAACAATACTGAAGGAGATTCCTACAGCTAAAGTTGATGTCATGGAGTTAGACCTTAGTTCAATGACATCTGTTCGGAAATTTGCATCAGAGTTCAATTCATCTGGTCTTCCATTGAACATTTTGATGTAAGAGCATCGGCCACATTGTCAAAATTTTTCGTACGTGTTTCTTGTGTTTATGCAATTGATAGTTACCTTCTTTATCTTTCTCTTTGCACATACATTTTACTTCTGATTATTCATGGAAACAATGGAGTGGTAATGCTTTCTGGTTTGTTTATTGCAATTTAAGAAACAATGCGGGAATTATTGGACTCCCTTTCACGCTGTCTGAGGACAACATTGAACTACTCTTTGCCACGAATTACATAGGTATGTGGAAACTGTCCAGTTTTTCATAACATGAAATTTTTTAAGCTTTCTAGAGTGTTAGATTTAAGGAGAAAAAAGAAAATATTATGGCAATGAAGTAAAGAGTCCACAGAGTGCAGAGAATATGATGCGTTTTTTTTATTTAGATGATTAAGAAAGGGATGGAAGGGGCTAGTTTAGTAGCAATATAAACATGTGAAACCTCCCTCCCTCTCTCTCTCTCTCTGTGAGAAAGGGTTAAAAACCATTGATACATGAAGTCTTTATGATGTCCTTCTACCCTGCTGATCTGTCTCAGGTTATATAATTGGGAGATAGTTTATATAAAGCATTAAATAACTCTTCTAAGGTTTTATTAAAGGCATAGGCTTAGAAGAGTTGGAAATGATCTTACTCCTTTTATTTGTGTTTAACATAATTCCACAGGTCATTTTCTTTTAACAAATTTGTTGTTGGATACTATGAAGAAAACAGCATTTGCAAGTAAGAAACAAGGTCGAATTGTTAATGTCTCCTCATCTGGTCACAGGTTAACCTATCATGAAGGAATCCGTTTTGATAAAATTAATGATCAATCAAGGTAAAAACTAGCCCATATACAAACTAAGATAAATTATGCTGGAAGTTTCTTCTTTCTTTCTTTTTTTTGTTTATGGAAGAGAGATTTATAAAGAGACAGCAAAATCCACTAAGCCTTGTTCTTCTAGGAATTTGTCTTTTTTTCTTTTATCAGCAAAACAAATCAATTGCAATTAAAATAATTGCACAGGAAATGCCCTCAACTATAGAGTTTAAACAAGTTCCAAAATAAGAAAAGCACTCATGATTGTCTTTTTTTCTATATTTACATACAGGTTGCAAACATTGCCCATGTAAGACATTCTTTGTTGAACCATCACTTATGTTATCAACTTTCTATTATTTAGACTCTCCAAACATATACTTGCATTCTGATACTAACAAGAGAAAGGGTATAGGAAATCCTTATGTCATCTCCTAAGCCACGTGTACCTTTGCCAATTCCATGATAGTATCCTTATCTGGTAGTTGATCTTTGAACACACCAAATTACAGCATACCAAATAAGACCCACATTTTCTTTGTTTTTGAAACACATGATGGTAGACCGAAGAATTGTTCAAAATGTGTTTTACTGGCTTAGTGTAAAGCTGTTGTGTAACGCAACCATTCCAAACACTTTTGCTACCACCTTGTCTCCCATTGTTCTCTTACAAACTCTGCACTCAGCCCCCACTTCTCTTCATCTTGTCTATTTATGCAAAGGATAAGTGTTATTGTATATTTCATTATGCTTGCTTCCTTGTGCACAGTTATTGGAAATTCTGTGCGTATGGTCAATCAAAGCTTGCTAAAATTTTACATGCTAATGAACTTGCAAGACGTCTCAAGGTATGCCAACATTTATTGTGCTTTGTCATGAATAAAATGTTATTCTTGTGAAAGATTTAGTAAATAGTGTGTTTGCTATTATGCAGCTTGTTGTTGGTTATGGATAGCTATTATAAGTTTACATTATTATATCCCATTAGTTTCTCTAAATTTTTTACTTGTTACTAAGAAAAAGATGTGCCTAATGCATATTTTAGCACTGATTCTAATGCAAGCAATTCTATTATTTTGGCACTGAATTGCATCAAATGAGTTTGCATACAATTGATTGTCTTAAGTGTTTTGAAACTGGGATAGATTATTTTGACCCTTAATCAGGCTTTGTTCTGGTCAAGGTGATACACCTAATAAAAGCGATCAAAAAATTAATCCTGTCAAAAACTAGGTTGAACTGGTTAAATTTGATTTTGTGGCCTTTGATTTGTATGAATTATAATTCAGAAACTTACACATATGAAGTAAATTCATGAGTATTAAAATAATGTAAATTATCTAATATAATGCTCCTAGATGGGTTAATATCTGGCCATGTTTTAATTGTTTAAAAACAAACGTCTTATTCATTTTTCGGTTCATCCAATTCCAATGCCAATGATCAATCTGATTGAAGGGATTGAATTGTGAATTGTTGACCTTTGTGATTTGATGTTCAGTTTTACATTTCTTTGTCTGGTAGGCAGTATATTTTGCAGATGGATTGTTGGTAACTTACTGTAAGGAAGACTATTTTATTTCCATTGTATCAAATTTGTTCTCAAAATTCACTCACTGTGTTCATCGTGCTCTATGGATTTGAAGTACTTTGTCAGAAGATTGCAAGGTTGTTTAGAGTTTAAGATTGAAGATTTTGTTTAGGATTACTGTTTTTCTAATAGTATTTCTCTTCTGCACACTACACTACACTCTTTCTAGTCACTATCTAGCTATTGTGTAGGATATGCTGCTTCCTTATCTAATTAATAATTGAAGTACCATATCTTGCGTAGATTAATTAGTTTTTATGAAAATGTTAGTCATTATCAATACCAAATTTTGTTAGTATTTTTTGAGATCTCAGTTGAATTTGGAGTCATTACTCAAAAGTTGTATCCCTTCTAGCAACTAGTCTTGTATCTCTTAGCAACCACAATCATAAGACAATTTTTTTAGTTTTTATTTTTTATTTTCCTTCTCTTATGTTTGTGAGTGAAAATGGCTCTCTGGTTTTGCCTCATTATATGTCTGTGATATGTGTAATATTACTTATTCATTGTTGCATCTTGATCAGGAAGATGGGGTAGATATCACTGTTAATTCTCTTCATCCAGGAGCCATTGAAACCAATATTCATCGTCACCTAGTATTTAATGGTAATTACCACATTGCAATATTTGGTACAAATATATGGTCTGTCCATAAATTATGTAAAATGTGGGAATTGAGATACTAAATATTCCACACAGTCCACTGTATGAAAGATACCAATTTTTTTGTTTTTTCCTTGCGTTGTGTATTAAATGTTTCGGTTGATTCATAATGCAATATGGTCCAACTCTTCAAGACCTCAACATAGTTTTAGGCTTTGCAGACTTACATTTTGTACATGATTATTGTTTAAAAAGAAAACAATGCTTAGGTTAAATTAAATAGATTAGCTATTCTAAATATTGAATTCAGAGTAGGATTATTTTTTTATGTACTCTTGCAAAACAATTCCACATGTTTCATCTAGAGGCAGTTTCTGTAATTTTTGCTCTTATTTACTTCATCAACTCATGTTGTCTTCAGATCTTTATTCAGAACTAGTTTTTACAGCAATTGTGTTTCCATTAATTATATTTGTTTAGTTTTATGGGCACTTTTTTGTATGATTTATGCAGGACTTCTAGATGTAGTTAAAATGTTGGCACGATATGTAATTAAAAATGTCCAACAGGTAAGTTAAACCCATATGACCTATTTACACCCTCACTTTATATAGATTTCTCACTTTATTCTCTTTTCACTTTAGAGGAACAAAATTCGAATAAGGATAATAGAGCTTTTGTTATTTGCTCTAAAAGGGAATTTAAAAAGCTCTTTATTTAAACATATATATTTTTAAAATTTTTATTTTAGAAGCAGCTATTTTTAACTTATGAAAAAGCACATTTTTTTTTTATAAGTTTTTGCTTTTTTTTCTTTAAAAACTTGCATAATTAGTTTATTTTTTACATACAATCTTTTAATAAAAATGTATTCTTCCTGAAAAAAGCTTAGACAAACACACTCATAACATGTGAATCTTTTGATCTTCCATTTTTTCTTTCTTCAATCTCATTATAGGGCGCGGCAACAACATGCTATGTAGCATTACACCCAGAAGTAAAGGGAATTAGTGGTGAGTATTTTGCAGATTGCAATATCAGCAAAACAAGCTCAAAGGGAAAAGACATTGATTTGGCTAAAAAACTCTGGGATTTTAGCATGAATTTGATCAAGTAACATACTTGGTGGCAATCTTCAATGCAAGTGGGATATATACTTAACCATTTTTACCGAGATTCCCGTCACTTAAGGATTCTTTACCATTTAATAATTCTCGTACGTGTATAGAATTTGTACCAATTTATATGTACTTACATGTACTTAAATTTTAGTGAAACAATTGTAACAAATAAATATGTCTGTGAAACACTAGTTTAAATTGAAAATCTTACTATTTGAATTATATTAATGATTAAGTATCTTTTTTATTTACTGTTTTAAAAATTTCATTTTAAGCTGTTAAGTGTAATACGTATTTTTAATTAAAAACTACAAGAATTATTTTTTTAATTTTTAATGTAGAAACATAAACAAACTTTGCTGTGACTTGTGAGACCAAAGTATTGCTGAATATTTAGTTTTATGTTTAGCATGTTTTAAAGAAATTATTTATTTTATAGAAATTTTTGCCATACTTAATAGCATAAATATGTTATCATATTTGTAATCTTTTTATAATAGCCAATAATGGTATAGATTATTTTTTAAAAATGTTAACTAACGCATGGAAGAATTAAAAGTGATTTTTATTACAAATTATAAATATATACTTATACTAATAAATTTTAATATATTTTAAAAAATTGTTATTTATTTCTTGATCAATTTCTTAAAATACTGATTAATAAGACTATTTAACAATAAAACTTTATGCATATAATAAAATATTTATTTTTCTGAAAACGGACCCTAATTGATGAGTCGCACGCTAAACTGAACCATAACAAATGAGTGGATCCGTAGTTTCTCTAATTTTGGAGCAAACATGACACTCATTTTAATATAAATTTTCTTACAAAATAACAAAGAAATATGCAAAATTCACTTTAAGCAAATGATGCATAGAAGGAAACAATGTGATGTGACATTGTTTTAGTTCTCATTAAAGGACGTCAAGTTTCTTCTGTTATTCGCCCTTCATTCCAAGCAATAAACAAACGAAATAGAAAATGAAAAATAAATAAATAAAAACCACACCAAATAATAATAATAATAATAATAATAATAATAATAACACGTAAATTTATTCATTAGGAAGCACTTGCCTGAACATTGGCCTCTCCAGCGAGTCCAATAAACTTTAGCAAAACCAAGCACAAAGGTTACCTTATTCTCTTTTCGAACTTAAATATAAACAAAAAATATTTTCATTTTCTAAATTACCTTTTATGATATTTATTCCCGAAGAAAAAATATTAAACCCAGATTTTCTTAATTGTACAAAATAACTCTTTAATTTTTTATTAATATTAAATATTATTAATACCGAAGGTGAAGATCAATTTATTTCTACCTTTCTCAAGCTAAATTTTTATTTCGACCAGAGGTCCCGCGTTAAATTTTTCTTGCCTTCGTTATTGTTTCAAACTACTGCATTAAAAATTAAATCATAGTAGATTGCCTCCAAAATTTTGTTTAAACTTATTAGCATGACGAGCATTGAATCATTATAATTCTCTTCAAGTTAAAAGGTCCGACTTTTACTCAAAACTTTCAAGATATAATAAGAGTTGGACGTTTAAATATCTCTTTTTTTTTTTTTCATTGTGTATAAACTTCTTGAACATTTGAACATGTGTAACACTCTTAATTGATAAATTGTTTTTCTATAATTCATAAGAAATTTAAAATTTAATTAAATCATTAATTAATTCTTTCTCATTCATAATACAAGAAAAATTAGTAAAATTTCAAAACTTTCATTTTTCACCATTTGATTCCTTAAAGTTTAATAATACTTAAAATGATAGAATTTAATGTATAATTAAACATTTCTCATTGCAACATAACTTGCTAAATAAAAATAATATTTGAACAAGAGTAAATAATTAACGTATTTAATATTATTTAAATTTATGAGTTCAATATTTACAAGTTATAAATAAAATATATTAGAATTTAATTTAAATAATTATAAAATCAAAATACATCAAATTCTATTAAGCAGGTGTAACACCCTAATTTTTTCAATTGTATTTTCTTGTTTTCAAAATGGAAGGGTTTCCTTAAAAAAAAAAAAAAAATCCTTTTAGCTTAAGCTAAAATAGATCAGCATTTCTCAACCGTAATTTCACTCAAGCAAAAAATCTCTCACTCAAGTGAGAATGGGCACCAGAAATGTGAGCTTAGGTAGATTTTTGCTCAAGCAAAAATAGTTTCATTCAAGTGAAAATATCAGCAAATGTGCAGCAAAATTTGTCTAGTTTTCTTACTTAAGCAAAAATACCCTTGCTCAAGAGAAAATCTTCGAGAAAAAGAAGTATTTAAGTGATTTTGAGCATTTTGAAAAATAAAGGTTCTAAAACAAATAACTATTTCTTACCTCACTCTCTGTTCTCTCACTTCCTCCTTCAACTAGAACACTTATTATTCTCTAAACCTCTTTTGAATCTGGGCTTAAATATCTTTTCCTCTTGATTCCATATAAGTTACTAGAGCTCTACCTTCTAATCTCACTCTCATTTCATCATTTTCTTTTTTCTAAAAGTTACTCTAATTTATAATGTTTAGGAAGAACCTTAGTCCTTCAAACGATATTTTTCTTTTGGATCTCGAGAAGAACTTGGCCTTAGAGATATTTTCTCTCATTCCTTTGTCATGAGAGACCTAATTCCAAGTAAGGGGAGTTGATCCCTAATTGTAACTTCTATTTAAATGTTTTTAGTTTAAAAACTCAAAATTTTCTGTTTTAAATAGTTTATAGTGTTAAAAATAAATTTTTGGGCATAAAAAACCTATGACTTGTTTCCAATACCACCTAACCAAAATTTCATAGTAAAATTTATGAGTAAAACCTGTTTGAAGAAGTTTCTACGATTTTGTTATTGATTATCATGTATGTACGGTTAATATTGTGAATTATTATCTTGAATAATGTTTACTGGGGAAAAAGGCTAAACTTTAGGATATATTATTTTTATTAAAGACCGAGAGTGTGATTTCTGGTAATGTAACTGTAGTATATGATTTAATTTCAATATGTTTTAACTGTACGACTAGAGTTGAGTCCAGAAGTAGTCGACCTTCAGCAAAATTGTTTGATGATTTAATTGTAATTCAATGGAGCATTATTATGATTGTATATTGTTGTTTGAAAATTTATATATGTTTGAGTCTTATCCGAAGGGATGTTACAGCAGGTCACTCCCACACCAAAAGTCTTGAAAATATGATCTTGGTTTGAGTTAGTCTTCATCAAATCAACCCTTTATTTCTTCCATTTCTTCCTAGGTTAGGTCTTCATCGTCTCCAGTGTCAGTTGTGACCTTTATACCCGTTATATGCTCTTGAATCAAATTAACTGGTCTTCCTAGATGATTGTGATCATGAAAGGTATATAAATAGCTTACTGTGGTGTTTTAACTGTCCCTTTATATACATACAAACTGACGGTGTGATGGATCCTACTATTAGTAGGTAATCAAAGAGAATATTGTACCTTACTATAATCTTTACAGAATATTTCTCACCGGATCCATGCTCACTAATTATAACAAATTTATAGTGGTAGACTCTGCTATTCTCTAAATATGTCATTCACTCTACTTTAAAGATGCTAGCATTCATTCTTATTTCCTAAAAATATAAGTAAGGATGAATCTTCTTCTCATCACTAAAATAGAACTAAACAATTGATTTAATAACTTCACAACAAACAAAACATAATAACAATCACAGCAACAATGTCATAACATATATACTAAAATTACACTATTCAATATGCTATTCATATGTATACACCATTTTACATACTTTTAGCACTTTAAACATTCTTTTGGGCCTTTAACATAACCAACCATTGCCCTTGAGGTCTTCCACATGTATGGATAGTCGTTGGTTAACCGTCGCAATACGGCTACTCAACCCCTTAGCAAAAGTATAGTTAAGAGTATTAGTCGGGAAATAAGTGTGTGATATGTGATGCTTTTACTCTCATTAAATTACGCGCAACTACGAAAAATATTCACCATCCTGTATTTCTCCTATATTTCCAAAATCGTCTCCATCTTCCATACTCTTAATGTATCACTGTAACTATTCACACTAATTCCTTTCATCATCATATTTGCTAATAATATATTTTTTACCATTTATTTCTCATCATACATTTAAACAAACCACGTCGAATGTTGGGCACATATTGACTCAGTCCAAATTGCATAATTTCAATAAATCATATTTCAGTCATTCAATAAATAATAAAACACATTTCATCTAGTTCACCAACTCAAAGAATCCATTTTTAAACTTAAATTTCTAAGATAGCAATATGTAACCACTCACACAAACAAGAGAATATGTAAAATTCATATACATCACATAGGTATAGTTTCATTGATGAGATAGTACTCTCCTTACCTTGAGTAGATGATTTACACAAAAGCTATCATAGAAGATATCGTTTGAAAGACCAAGTTCTTCCTAAAGATCATAAAGTAGAGTAAACTTCTGAGGAAAGAAAATAACAAAATGGAAGTGAGATTAGAAGTTTTAATCTCCAAGAAAATTACTAAAAATTAAGTGGAAAAGATGTTCAAGCTCGGATTAGAAAGAGGTTTTGGAGTTTAGAGGTGATTTAGTAGTGGAAGGAAGTGAGAAAATAGAGAATGATTTAAGAATGGTTACTTGCCTTGTAATCAAGTAGAAACGTAGCCAGACCATACCATGTATTATGTCCCTACAAGTTTCTCTTTGTTAATGGCAAAACTTGGTTTTATTTTTGCCAAACTTGTAGTGAAACTGATAGATGTTTGACACTATGCAACATCTGAGTTGTTTCGCGCTTTCTTTAGGGAAAATTATTTTAAACATTTTTCTAGTAATATTGGTAAAAAAAATTTCACGTGGTAAGATTTAATTAGACAAAAAAATAATTTAAAAATTTAATAAATTTGAAATTTATTTTTATAAATAAAATATTTAAAGGCAAAATTTCTATTTTCGTTCCTTAATTTTATGATAAAATTCACTTTCGTTCTTTAAATTTTTTTTTAA